CAGGACCCCCACAAGAGGTTCAACATGATGAAGCAGGGGAATTTGTTAGCCAACCATGGAAAGATTTCCTACAGCAAGAGGGCATTCGTTCGCTAGTGAGTGCAGCACCCTGGCAGAGAGGTCGGATTGAGAGGCATGGAGGTGTGATAAAGGAGATGCTTAGTCGAATAGACAAGAAAAACCTATCACCAATGAAAAGCAATTCGACATGGCTTTGAGTCAATGCTTCCAAGCCAAAAATAGTCTGACCATTGTCCAAGGGTATAGTATAGTCGTGAGCAAGCCGTATTGGGAAGATCACGCAGACTGCCTGCTTCCATTTGTGGAGATGAGGATTTTACAGCACATTCGATAGACCAACCACAAGACACTAGGTCAGAGAATTTTCTCCAGAAAATGGAAATCAGGACACTTGCCCGAAAAGCTCTCCTTGATGCTGACAACAGTCAAGCAATTCGTCGTGCATTGAATCATCAATCCCGAGGACAAGAACATCCATGGAGATGTGGGGAGCTGTGCATGATATGGGACAAGAGGAAATCCCCCAATATGCTTGAGAAAGGTCGATGGACCGAACCATGTCAGATAGTAATGGAAGAAAGCAGAACAATCGTTTGGGTGACACAAATGAACCGACTGTTGAGAGTTACAAAAGAAAACATTCGACCAGTGTCAATTCGGGAATTCAACAGAGTTGCAACATTTCATCAGAGTTGCGATGAAACTAAACTTCAGGCTATGGCAGAACAACTGAGAAAGCAGTTGAAAGAAAGAAGTGGAATATTTCAATTCTCTGATTTGACTGAAGTGGAACCCCCGGGAAACCAAGAAGAAAACGGTGGACCTCAACCAGAAGAAGAACCACATCGTAGGGATTCTGAAGCAGAGATACCTGAAACCGAACCAGCCAGCGTGAATCCCGAGTCGAGTGATCAACCAAATGCAGAACTTGCAGCAGAGCCCGAAGAGCCTCAAGGGAGTGATCTTAATGGGGAAAGAGATCCGAATGGGGAAGAGAATGAAAACAATGAATCAGTAGGGGATTCAATTGATTTCGTAAATGAAGTATACAGTGTCAGCATTGTTGAAGCTAACGATGCAAACGCAGTCACAGTGCAAGACAATGGAACATTGTGGCCGTGCACCGAGGACATTTCGATAGAAAACGCCAATTTTTGCATGTTTGAATTTGATGTGCCCCACCAAATACTTGTCCGCATTTTGCGCAGATCCTTGCTTGCATGCCGAGCAGATGGTCCAGGCAGCAAAGAAGAATCATGTTGAAGTAGTGTACAAACACTTGAGCCCATCCGAAAGAGAAGAATTCGACCAAGCCAAAAATAAGGAACTGGGATGCTGGATTGAAACCTCCTCAATTGAGCCAATCTTGAGAGATAAAATACATCCTACAAGGATAATGTCATCTCGATGGATATTGACTTGGAAGGTTGATCCCACTTCTCCCCAAGGTAGAAAAAGCCAAAGCTCGTCTAGTAGTGAGAGATTTTGAGGACCCTGATGCAGCTTCCGTGAGCACTGAATCACCAACCCTATCCAAACATGGCCGAATGGTGATACTCCAAGAAGTCAGCAGCAGAGGGTGGAACTTGCAGAGTTTCGACATCAAAACTGCATTTTTACGTGGCAGGTCAGATGAAAGGGTTCTTAGAACTGCAGAAACTGCTTCACCTCAAGTCCAACGAAGTTTGCCTTCTCAAGGGCAATGCCTACGGCAGGGTGGATGCACCCCTGTTGTTTTATAAAGAATTCAGAAAGAATCTAGAAGCAGAAGGATTCCAAGCGTACCCATTGGACGCATGCCTGTTTGTACTTCGCAATCCCAAAGATCCCAATAAACTTGAAGGAGTTTTGGGCACCCATGTTGATGACGGGATTGGAGGCGGAAGAGAATTGTTTGAGAAAGCACTTGAAAGAATCCAAAAGAAGCTGCCATTCGGACAAAGAGAATATAAGAAGTTTCGGCTCAGTGGTCTTGACGTTGAACAAAACCCAGACAACTCAATTCGAATAAGTCAAGCCGATTGCATCCAAAAGATTGATCCAATTGATGTACCGAAACCTCGCAGAAAGGATGAAAAATCCGCAGTCACAGCACCCGAGCTACAGCAATTGCGAGCTCTTTGCGCAAGTCTACAATATGCCGCGGTACACACGAGGCCAGGTCTTGCAGCCAAAGTGGCATTTCTCCAAAAGAAGATACCCGAAGCATGTGTTTCAGATCTAATGGAAGGAAACAAGATTCTGAGGGAAGCAAAGAACACAGCCGAAACATCCATCTTGATTCAACCAATTCCCATTGATCAACTAACATTTGCAAGTTTTGGAGATGCAAGTTCTGCTTCGGAAAGCCAATTGAAGGCCAAGCAGGGATTGTTCGTCACGGCAGCCACAAAGAAACTCGGACAAAATGAAACATCTGAGTTTCTCCTTTAGCATGGGGGTCCAAACAAATTGCACGAGTTGCAAGATCTACCTTGAGTGCTGAAGCTTATGCCATGTCAAGCTCTCTCGACAAATTAACATGGATTAGATGCCTATGGAGTTTCGTGAATGATCCACAATTTCAATGGCAGAAACCCGAAAAGGCATTACAGAGCCATCCCAAGGCCCTCCTCGTAACGGATTGCAAATCTCTCTATGATTTAGTGACCAAGTTGGCCATCCCAAACTGTCAAGAATGGAGACCACCATAGAAGTAATGCAGATTAAAGAACAATCAGAAGGCAATGCTCAGTGCCGATGGATCTCTACTGCTATCATGTTAGCAGACTGCTTAACTAAGCCCATGGATGCAAGTTTCTTGCGAAAAATTCTTGCCATCGGACGATTCCGAATCTTCGACGAGACAAAGACCTTGAAGACAAATGCAAATAGGAAGTTCGGTGAAAGATGGGCAGAAGGGTTTAGGAGTTTAGCAACCGATTCATGTCGAAAAGAAAAACAGAACGTGTGTGAATTTGATGGAAGTTCACCATGAACCCTTCTCATGAATCAACCAAGCAGTTCGATCCGACGGCAGTTCGAAGCATTCGAGCATGTACGCAAGGCAAGCCAAACAAACGGTTTGGCTCAAGGGTTGAGCGGACTCAGACTGGACAGGACTCGGTAGAAAGAAGCGCGGCCGCTTGGGTAGGAGGACGTTGGATTTGAGGTAGGTTGTAGGTAGGGTGCTACCTTTGTGGTTCCTATCGGAATCACATATAATATCATATCATATCTATTTTCGCTCATGATGCTACATTCATTGCGTGCAAAGAAAGATTAAGGGTTTTGAGCTAGTGTGTGCTCTCCCAAGCACACCCGCTCTCAAAAAAGACGGGCCGTCTATATAAATGGTCGGGTTGGGTGAAAGAAGGCACACTCCCCTCGTGTTGACAGTGACAAGCTGTGACGAGTGGTTGGATCAAGGAGTTTCAACTCCTCTACAGGACCCAGAAGGGCTCGAAGACGGGTTGACAAAACCAGGGAGCAATTCCACGGCTCGAAGCTGGCAGCAAGGAGTTTCGGGGAGCGAGGTTGACATCGGAACACAGCCTCCTGAACCATGGGTGAGTGGAACAACCCTAACAAACAGCAGAATGTGACTCTGAACAGCAGCTCTCAGCCGACTTTTGCTAGGACCTGTGGGTTGGGATGGGCACCCAATTTCTTACCTATCGATGAAACATGTCCAGCTGATGAGAGGAAGAAACCCACTGGCCGCAAAAGGCTTTTAGAAATGGGTGAAAAACCGTCCTAGCTCAGGACCTGACCACGGATCGGATTCTGTCAACACTTGTTCTATGAGCCTCCCTCACCAGCTGATGAAAAAACGTTGCTGAATTCATGTGATCTGCTTTTCAAGGTGCTCAGGACCTCCGGCACCCCCCCCAAGAGCTGGGCCTCCGCCTCTTGTTGAGCTCTCACAGACACTTCAGGAGCTGGCTCTGCACTCACCTCCATCTTGCTGTAAGAAGAGTCCCATGCCAGCTCCACTGTGTGCTGAGCACCACCATCTGCAATCATCACAAA